GCCTGTGCTGACATCTCCGTCAACATCTGGTATGGCTTTGGTGTCCCCATCATGACGGTCATCTCAGATGTGATTCTCATTGCCGTTTCTTACAGCCTCATCCTCCGTGCCGTCTTCCGCCTCCCCTCCCGGGATGCCCGCCACAAAGCCCTTGGCACGTGTGGTTCCCATGTCTGTGTCATCCTCATGTTTTATACACCCGCCTTTTTCTCCATCCTTGCCCATCGCTTTGGGCACAATGTCTCCCGCACTTTCCACATCCTGTTTGCCAACCTCTACATAGTTATTCCCCCTGCACTCAACCCCATTGTCTATGGAGTGAAGACCAAGCAGATCCGAGATAAGGTCATACTTTTGTTTTCCACCAAGGCTACGGAATGATGTTTCAATGTGCTATGGAAAAGCAGATATCATTGTATAGGGGATATTAATGTAGCAAGACTGAGAAAAGAGCTAATTCTAATTGAAGTGAGAACTGCCTGCAGGTGCTTTTGCATACAAGGAAAATGGTGTGGTCTCTTTAAAGGACTTTCATTATTCTATATATAAAAAAAATCCTTGATGGTGTGTTTGCTTCTGGAATATGAAGTTGTATAGGATATGATCAGGAAGAAGAGGTGAAAACAGAGAGCTGGCTTAGCGTAAATGGACAAAGGAATATAAATTTGGAAATTGACATTTGACTCTGTGGAGAGAGAAAAGTGTGTTATGCACAACAGAGACCCTGAGGAAGTGAGACTAAAAGTGAAAATATCAACAAATAATTCATTATTGAGGGGATTGGTAGATGGATTTAGGACATTTATGATAATATTCAGTTCTCACTAGTGTTCATCATGTGCTTCTGCCATGCACTTTATATTCCCTCTACCCGCAACAGACACACACATAAAATCATTCAGTACCAGAGCTAGGAGAAGCACGATCAACCAGCAGTGCTGTGACGGGGAGGAGAGAGCATGTATTTCTCAACACCTGCATTCTAGCCCCAGTGCTGGCAGAAGAGAGGAGCTTCTAGGCTCCAAGACACTGAGAAAGTGAGCTGCAGAGATGTGCCAGGAGACCTTAAGCCAGTTCAGTGAGAACGCAAAGTAGATGTTTAACCCCAGTTGCAGAAGACCTGTGGGACTTTTATCGACAGAGTGTGTTTCCTGGACTGGAAGAGAGAATCAATTACAAGACACATCAGTGCAGTGAAGGGGGATGAGGAGAGAAAATCTACAAGAAAGTGATGCATCCATGGTAAGATGCATCTAGTTCCACAGGATTGCATTAGAGACAACACTGCTGTGTTCAGAAAAAGATCTAGAGTTCTTACAATAAATCTTTTTTCTTCTTTTGACCATTATCCGCCGATGTGGAATTATTTGTTGGGTACCCACTGTATTGCAACACGGTTCTAAGCATTCGGGAAAGGAAGGTTAACGATACAGAGACTCCGCCCTGCGTTTGTGGAGCTTATATTCTCAGGAGAGTGACACACGAGAAACGAGAGAACAAGTTGTACACCTTCAAAGAGGGATGTAACCGATGGAAAAATGCAGTGAATACAGTGATGCACTACAAGTGGACGAGGAGGACAGGGCAGCGAGGACAGCAAAGGCAAAGGCCCTGGGGCAGGACACAGTGTGACGTGACTGTGCACAGAGCAGAGGCCAGCGTGTCTGGAGCAGAGCGAGGCGGGGATGCAGGAGCAGGGAGGAGGGGGGAGCGTGGCCGGGTCCTGTGGGGCTGGAATCATCGGAACCTCATTGTAGGAGGAGGAAACTGATGCCAGCAGAGTGAACGTGACTTTTCCAAGGCACACAGCGGGGCGGTCATCAATGTGGAGCTACACTAGACTCTGCCAACCCCCAGTTCAGAGTTTTCCCCACTTGAATAACCTCACTCTTGTAAAAAAGAAAACATGAGTAGGAATATCAGAGCCCATTTTTCTTGCTTCTGTGAAGCCTCTTGTCATAAATTAAGCCACATCCTTCTAAGGGAGGAGCCTGCTTTCTGTGCCAGCTGCTAGAAATTCCCTGAAGAGATGATTTCTTACTCTCTTCTCATTATTTCCATTCTGCTGAGAACATGGATTAGCCAAGAGCTGATATTTTTAAAAGTTTACTAAGGAAGGGATAGTAAATAAATAGATTCTGAGCTATTTATTTTGTATTTTTATTTATTATTATTTCATAAGTTTATTTTTGAGAGAGAGAGAGAGAGAGAGAGAGAGAGAGAGAGAGAGAGAGAACACTAGCAGGAAAGGGGAAGAGAGGGAGACACAGAATCCAGAGCAGGCTCCAGGCTCTGAGCTGTCTGTACAGAACCTGAATCAGGGCTCGAACTTGTGAACCAGGAGATCATGACCTGTGCTGAAGTTGGACTCCTAACCGACTGAGCCACCCAGGCGCCCCTAGACTGAGCTAACTTAAGAGTACATACTCATTTCATCGTGGTAGGGACTCAAACTTGTGGTTATTCACCACCAGGCACGAATGGCTCACATGAAAGCCTAATGACCTAGAAAAACCAACGTAGGAAGCAGTTGTCTCCTGCACTGTCTCCCTTACCCTCTCCCACTATCTTTGGGCCAGTTATATGTTATTATGTTTCTACCTCTTTCCCAGGACAGTTCATTTATTTCTGTGACTTATGGCCTCTTTTCTGGTAACTCTCTATCTCAGTTTTCAAAAGAGCATCCTGATAAATCTCAGTGTCTGTTTTCCTACTTCATAGGCTTGGTATTAGGAGTACATGAAAAATGTAGATCAACGTGCATTGCAGACTGTAAAATACTAATCTAATGTCAGGTTAGTAGTTGACTAATTACCACTGCCATTCTCATCTGGAAGCAGAATCTCAGCAGCATGTGCAACTCTGAGCTCATCATTGTCACTTAAAATCCTCCCTCCACTGTACTGTTCATTGGAGGAAAAAACAGGTTAAGCCTGGTGTTTCTCTTCCCTCAAGGTCCGATCTCCTCCCTGGCTGCCCCAATGGCTCCTTGTGGTGACACTGGCTGCAAACATTCCGTTCCAGTGTCAGACTAGGAATGAAATTATGTGTTGTGGTTGGATTTAAAAGACA